ATAATTGAGAACTGAAAATGCTGTTGACGTCACTTCATTTGCATTTTCTAAGTTTCAATCGCCTATAACTTAGCAGCATTTTTTCTTTCATGGATGAGAATGAATTTCTAATGGTGTCATGTGCACTTTAAACATTGTAGTTCTTACAGCGTAGCTCTTGTGGACTCGCTTGACATTCTCGAGATAACTCGCCATGCACTTGACTTGAGTACCAGGCGAGTTCACTAGTACAAAAAATAAACTACGCAACTCTCACAGAACTGAAAGCGTGACTCGAGAAAGACAAGCGAGTTCACAAATACAAGGCCAAACTGCGCGATTTTTGCAACACTGCTGATTAAAACGTGACTAGATTAACAATCGAGTTCACAAATTCAAAGATCAAACGGCGCAAACTACGACTTTTGACATGGTACCCTCGACCAAAGACCCAACTCAAAGCTACAGGTGCAATTAATCCCGTGATAATCATGAATAAACTACAAATCCTAAAGACGGTTATATAAAAGGGTCACCACACAAGTATTAACAAAGAGATCAAGCTGCAACACTGGAGAGTTTCAAACATGGCGGACGAGAAGCTGTCCATTCCAATAGTGGATTTTAGTGTAATGGGCCTTTGTAATGATGAAATTCCAAGTGATTCAGACGTGAGAGTGCAGCAAGTGGCTTCCAATATTTGCAAGGCGTTCAGCAGTATTGGATTTGTGTATTTAAAGAACCATGGTATCAGCGACGACGAGGTTTGTGAGCCAGCAAAACAAACCCTTATTTTAATTCCAAACCTAACCTAACCCTAACCCTAGTCCAACCCTATCTAATATTATGCAAGCGATGTAGATCCAAATAGACCTCTGAAGCTTTTACGTCATGTACTTTCTATGCAATGCTGTAGGATATGTTTGGGACAGAACGTGGCGGATTTCTTTTGTTTTCTCTAAAAACTGATCCCACAATGCATTGAAARTCAAGTAGTGACGTAAAAGTTTCATTAGTCTATTTCGTTCAAATATTATGTTGACTCAGTAAATTCCTTTTTACTTCGTCATAGATTGATAAAGTCAGAAAAGTTTCAGACGAGTTCTTTGCTTTGCCTGTTGAAGAAAAARTCAAGTGCTCAAGGGACAGTCACGGGTCTAACCATGGTTGGGTAGCTCTTGAAAGAGAAAGGTATTTAGGTCGTATCTTTTAGCGGTAAAAATATGGGATTGGTATCTTTTAGGGTCTTTTCAAGGCTTTTTGGGTCACCAATGGTGGTATCTTTAAGGTTTTGTGTTGACATAAGAATGACCGTAGTACGTATTTTGCTAAAACCTTTCGAGTAGAAGGTATTGAAGCTCAAATATTAATGGACGATTCCACCAATTGTGGAATTCCGAAGCTGTTACATTGCTGAAATTATATGACACTATATCTAATTAATAAATATTCCRTCTGTCCTACCCTTCCATCACTTCATCCTTTAATTTACTGTTTAAACTGTTTCTGTCTCAGTCTGAACCCAAAGAGACCAGCTGATTTGAAAGAAGCTTTCAATGTTGAAGTAGAAAATTCAGTAAGTGTTACAAATGGTGCTATTATTTTGTCCAGGCTCTTAGGCATGGTTGCTGCTCACTTTATTGCCAAATATGGCACATAGTTTTACCTTATTTGGRAGTATGTGTGTGCTTTTTCGTTTAAATTTTCTCGCTCTAGTGTTAAAGCCGCGGCTACACGAGCGATTTTTCGCTTGCGCGCGGGCCACGCGATTTTCTCAAAATCACCAGCGCACGATGTGGCTACAGGAGCGACAATGCTGTATCGATAAAAAATCCTCACAAATACTTATTTGAATCTCCATAAAGAGGTATATGTACAAAACAAAAACAGCTCAAATTCGATGTTCAGCTTAGGTTTCATCGTATCCGAAAATCGCTTCGCCTGTGCAAGCGAAAAATCGCTCGTGTAGCCGCGGCTTAAAGATTAATCGTCTACAATGTGAAACTTGCAGAAATTATAGCGAGAACACATTTAAACATTCGGCCATCTTGTTTGTCAGGTCACTGTCCCCAATACTTTAAAGAGTATTTTAAGCGTAATAGTGCAATCCACGCGCGTGCTACTAGACAAAGCAATTTTTTACATTCACCTGATGTGAGGACCGAGATCGCAAAAAGATCTTTTTACTGCTATGGTTGCACTCTTTTTAATGAATTATCCAAATAGAATTTAGTATTTATGCAAATTTTTATATCTTTTTACCGGCATTAATGTTTTCTATCTATCTATCTATCATCATATTTCTAGTGTTACTTATAATGTACTATGCACATTTATATATTATATTGTAGTTCATATTGTTATGCTCAGAGCTCCCATTGATAACAGATTGCTTTTTGCATCTGATGGGGCTACCCTGAGCGGTATAAGTTAATAAAGGTTTATCTATCTATCTAATAACCGAAAAATACACACGCACAAGCACACAATACGCATCACACGCGAATAGCAAGAATCGTAAGTTGTTGTTTTTGAAGCTAACACATTTTGGTGTAGTGTTGATCAAGCTTTGCTTGTTTGTAAAGGTATTTTGTTTATGTTTTCAAGAAATGGCCAACATCTACTGTACCAGACATGAAACCGTCACTTGAAGGATTGTATAACAAGTGTGTTCAGCTTGCATTTAGAATACTGAAGGCTATAGGAATTGGACTTAAAATCAAGGTGAATTATTACTTTGTAACTTTTGTTGCAGTGGTCTTATGTAATTCGCAGTTCTAACATAGACCCATTTAATAATAATTACCTACCATCGATTTTCTACAATTGACAATGCTATGGAAACATTCAGCACTGTTTATNAAAAGCTTTATAACAAAAACAAAGCTTAATTATCTCTAAGTACAAGAAATAGACATATTTTGAACAAGTTTATTATTCAAAGATCTTAATTTCTTGGCTTGAAACTAGTAACTTCTAAAAATGAGCTTTGAAACCGCATCGCAAAAAAAAATGGTTAAGTTAGGTTGAGTTGAAACGACTCAATTCAACCGAACGAAGCATTTTCGGGTTTTCAAACATCAAAAATCTCTACATAACAAAATTCATTATCTAAATAATCCGAAATATAGCGGTGAAACGTAAAGGTTTCATAAAATGTAATGGAAAGTTCTCAAAACTGCCGGTGGTTTGCAAGAAAAAAGCCGATAGATTTCATAGAAACTAAAGTGCTTGACATACCTCTCAAAGTATCAGGAAACGATCTCTAGTTTCAACTTCAAAGCTTGCTTTAACTGCATATGGGCATAAATTTAAGTCTTATAAGCTTAAACTCAAGTAAAAATCCACGTAAGTTATGAACTTTTCTGCTCCATTTTTCGAGTTTTTGAAATGAGCAAGAGTCTTCAATAAGATCTTTGCCTTTAAAATAATTGTTCCTCACAATGTACTGTCTCATCTTTTGCATGAAGTCTCAAAGTTTCAGGATATTGGCATAAAGCTTCCCATCAAAAACTGAAAATCAGCGTAAGACCAACCACAAGTAATTCAGGACACGAATCGGACACGAGCGAATGCACGGTAGCGGATGACCCTCGGAAAAATCTCGACTGTTTACGAAAGGCCTCGAAGTCTACCCGAATAAAAAAAGCTAGGGAGGGGTGGACACTATACCTGGTGCACACATAGGTCCACGGCGAGTAAAATGCTTATTGTTCATTTTCTCGTCGTGAAATTAACATTTCAAACTGAAAATCATGAGATAATTAAGAAATCTGACGATGTATTGCTATTTGAAAGAAAATTGTCGATTTCTTTTGTTTTTCGGTTAAAAASGAGCRAAATTATATTTGTCACGTGACCAGTGTTTYATACCTTGTCACAGACTWGTTTGTATCCCGCGAGGCGCGCGATCGTGACGTAATACCATAGGTAACCCGCACTTTTGCTAAGAGCGCGCGCCGATACATATACATAATAAAAGCGTGCGCATTCGTTCTTTTCTGTCTCTAATGCATTAGTTGGGCGGCCTATGGCTACACGAGCGATTTTTAGCTTGCGCGAGCCACGCGATTTTCTCAAAATCACCAGCGCACGATGTGGCTACACGACCGACAATGCTGTATCGATAAAAAATCCTCACAAATACTTATTTGAATCTCCATAAAGAGGTATATGTACAAAAAAACAGCTAAAATTCGATGTTTAGCTTTCATAGTATCCGAAAAATCGCTCGTGTAGCCGCGGCTTAAAGATTGATATCGTCTACAATGTGAAACTTTCAGAAATTATAGCGAGAAGGCACATTTAAACATTCGGCCATCTTTGTTTGCCATATATGGCATGGATTTGCAAAAGGAAACCCCACACCGAAATAAGCAACAACAACAATAAAAACAGCAATAATAAATAATAATAAATCGGAAACGCAAATCGGTTTTTAAACTTGTAAAAACATGCCTGTCAGGTCACTGTCCCTAATACTTTAAAGAGTATTTTAAGCGTAATAGTGCAATCCACGCGCGTGCTACTAGACAAAGCAATTTTTTACATCCACCTGCTGTGAGTACCGAGATCGCAAAAAGATCTTTTTACTACTGTGGTTGCACTCTTTTTAATGAATTATCCAAATAGAATTTAGTATTTATGTAAATTTTTTATATCTTTTTACCATTTATATTTTCTATCTATCTATCTATCTATCATCATATTTCTAGTGATACTTATAATGTACTATGCATATATATATTATATTTAACAATTAGACCTCGAGGTCGAGTGGACTACG